TCTCGCGCCCTCGTAATATTTACGTCGTGGTCTCCGTGTTGGCCTCGATAAGGTCGCGTCGACGGTGGAAAAGATAGTGAAACGTGGGTTGAGACTCCGTAGATTTATGTCGGCGTCGGAGATTCTCGGGAAAGGGCTATGGTCTGAGTCGAAGATTTGATCCAATGGCCTTTGATCCTGAGGTGGAAGGTCATGGAGGATTCGATTCGCATCTGAGTCTATTACTTGATGTTTCTTAATCCAACGCACATGTGGATATGGTAAGGAATGCAAAGGATTGTGTATCTAATTCGTAATAAATGTTTGAGTCAGCTGTTATTTGCAATTTAGTTCATATCCATAATAATTGGGTTTCTTGATATGGTTGTCACTTGAATCGTCTTCTGCAAAAGAGTTTCTGGATATTTGACTTTCTGAATCAGTAGGAATTGCAAGCATGTAAAGAGATTTCATACGTAAAAATTACGTCACATAAAAACAATTCATATTCTGGCACGACTGACTAAAATCGTACCTGGGATTTTAATGATACACAACTAACTTCACAAATCAAACTTATTTCTCACGATATTCACATAAAAGAGTTGAAAATAAAAAAGAAATAAGAAAGACATTCTTCAAAGTGCCTCGCGTGAAACAGTCACAAAAGAAATAGTTTAAAAATTTATCATCACTTAAAATCCCCGGATGGAGTCTCGCCATTTTATAATCTAAATTGGTCTTTTAAAACTGCAATTGATTCAAATTATCACTGATAAGGAAATGCAGATGGGATTGGTAAAATACAGCAAGCAATAACAAAAACACCAAAGACAAAAACAACAAGCAACAAAAACAACAAATATAGCAACGAAACCAAAAAAATCAATAAAACAACAACAAACAACGACAGTGACACCAAAGAGTAAGAACAAAAACAAAAAAACCACCAAAGACAAAACAACAAGCAACAACAAACAACAAATATAGCAACGAAACCAATAAGTAAAAAATAAATATAACAACAACAAAACAAACAACAACGACGACAACGACAGTGACACCAAAGAGTAAGAAAAAAAAACACCAAAACGACAAAACAACAACGAACAAACAACAAAAATAGCAACGAAACCATAAAAAATCAATAAAACAACAACAAAACAACAACAACGACAGTGACACAGTCA